GAGTTGGTGGTTTATGTTACAGTAGTATATCCTGTACACTTATTTATTGAATTTATCATGTAACAATTAACAGGGGAAAAATGCTTGCGGTACACCATGTATGCACTCTAGTTCTAAAAGAAAATTAGGTGCAGCCCTCGGTGTTAAATCAAAATTATACTTTCTGGCCCTTCGTCCTATTTTTATGCCCATCCCTGCAAAACACTTTTTAAAGAATACCAAACATGAATGAAATGGGAGAAAAAGAGTTACAATTTAATACATTTAATAACAATATAAAATGAACGTTATTCTACAATATTCATTGGATGTTGCCTGTTTGGCTTTTAAAATAAAATTACTTGTACATTTTATCTAATTAACATTACATTGTATATAATTGCAATAGCAATGCAATTATAAATTATATTTTCTAAACCAGTTATATGTACCGGCGAATGTTGATTTATTGTTTAAGCCAATGGGTTCATGATTTGATGATACCCATGTATCTAACAGTGTCATTACTGAGTATATTATCAAACAGATTTGTTTTATGTATTAGATGATGTACAGTCCTACAAACATTGTGATGGCAGATGAGTGCTAATTGCTTATCATTGGATAGTTGCGCCATAGTTTTGTAAGTGTACTCTATAATATTGACTGACACTGCAGTTCTTATTATTATATTATTGTTATGAGTCATGCTTTGCTTTATTAATATTGTACTCGATTACTGAATGAAACTCTTATATTTAATTGATAATGTTTAATAATCCACTTTGATTCCGATGGTTCTTTGCAGTAAATTTATACATTTCTACAATATACTGAATTATGATCTCTGATGACGACTGACTTGCAATTCTTGATACTTTGTATGTATTATGTTTATGATTACTGTTTACATGATGTAATTAACTGATGTTAATTATATATTGTTGTTTTATGTTTAGTCACCAGATCAGCAGAGAGAAACCAAATAAATATACCATTGTTTTAAATGGTAGTCGTGTGGAAATCTTTATTGTCTGTGTTGGGTAATTGTGGCGCCCTCTATCAACCCCTAAATAGTTGGTTGTGGAATCAACTACAGAGTGTTGTCCAAATCATGGTTATAAGAACTATAAAAATACAAAAGGGCGCTCACTTGTGTTGTATTTCGATACTTCTGACTTGATGTTATATTTCCCCCCACTTTTTCCATTTTTTAGTGATTTTATAATATTGCTTAGCTCTTCACTATTTGGTGGATGTTCAGAAACACCAAAAACTTCATCATTGAATAAGTGTGGGAAATGTTCGTGGTTTTTGTAGCTTAAGCCATGGAGGATTATGGCTTCAGAGTCAACACTCTGCTGTGCCGAGCGGTAAAGGTAAAGACAGGGGAGCCACACCCAAAGCTGTAGCCAACTATTGGGACAGTTGGGACTGTCCCACACAATTTTTCTAATGGGTCCACAGAGAATGGGTCCACATTTTAAAAAATTGGTCCAAATTATGCATTTTTATGCATAAAATGAGTCCACTTTTGAAAAATGAGTCCAGATTTTTCATTTAGCATAAAATGGGTAAAATATTTAATAAATGGATTCACATTTTAAGAAAATGGGTCCACATTATCTGTATTTACTCGTACGGTCCATCCTGATATTATCCCGTAATGTTGGAAATCCTGGCTACTGCAATGGCCGCAACCAACGTACGCTCGCCTATGGGGGAGGTGGAACAATGTCGCGGATAAGAACCTAAACATAATAATGTGGGCCCAGTGTACAAAATTGGCTCATGTGCACTATAAGAAACCCAGTAAGCCTTCGAGACGAGAAGATGGTTACCCAGGTGTACTGGTCCATCTTACAGACCTTGTCACCGGTGTCATCCAGTTGATGAGCATTCATTATTACTTTATTTTTTATTCTTTTTGTTTGTTTTTCGTTTTTTTTTGTTTTTGTTTTTTTTTTCTGTTTTTTTGTTTCTCCCCTTCTGGGTTGCTTTGCTTTCGTGTAAACGGTCCATTCTCTGTGTGACTCAAATTTAAAAGTAAAATTTGCTAGATCGTTGCTTAAGAATTGTTAATATTGATTCAATTTCTCTTCACCAAGTAGATATTTCTGAAAAGAAATTTTGTTGAGAATGTCTGAACGTTTCGATTGAGTTGCTTCAATCGTCTTCAGGAGAATAATTGCCATGCTAAAACACAACATCTAGTTCTACATGAATATTGAGACCAAATGTTAGTCTGTACAGCGACGATATTTTCAAAATTAGTTTAAACTAAAATGACTCTCATAATGAACACAGTTTATCAATTATAAAACTGAATGAGTGTAGAAAAAGAGTATAAAACTGCAAGAGGTCCGACTCTCTGGGTTTCGTTGAAACGCAATCTTATCTCAAAATTCACGAATTAGTGGGCGTCTTTTCAAAAAAGCATAAAAGGCGTTTGTATAATGGAGGAAAACAATTTCAAATAATTTTATAGTACCGTAATAATTATGGGAAATATTGTTTGACAATCGTGGGGTGGTAACTTCTTACACGTGTCGTCCAATGCCTTTTCCGTAGAATTATCACGCATGTTATTTGTACTTAACGGTGGTCCAGGGGGCAGAGCCTTCGAAAAATATGACAATTTAGGGGTTTCAGAGGCTTATTTAATCGATTTTATATATAGATAGTCTACTAATATGTAGAAAATACATATAATTTTTTTTCGCCCCGACGAATTGTAGTTTTTCTTTTCTTGGGTGGGGGGGGGGGGGAATTGTTTTTTTTTGGGAAGGAAATCCGCCCTTCCCCGTAGCACCGCCACTGCGTTGTACAGAGAACTCGTTACAGTTATGGACCGTATTACTGGTCGTTCTTCGTTAAACCACGTCCACCTGCGCAGTGGTAAAATCCTATTTAACGAAGACGACCAGTCGAATAGAAAAAAGCTCGACAAAACAAAATGGCTGCATAGTTACCGCAAAGCACGAATCTTTCAAACGGGTAGGGAGTGGGGTGCACAACAGACTCAGAGTGTGAGTGAGTAGCACTTAGCTTTGACTTGCATTTAAAATTTTAAAATTTAATGGCAAAACTTGATCCGCCCCTGTAAGCATCATGTGTTTGCACAATGATCAATTGATCTATATAAATGGAACCTGCAAACAGTGGAACCCCGCCACCGCGCGCGCTCGATGCTAGAGGATATCGGATCTAGAAAGTGGAATAAAAACAATCAAAATGTGCAGCCGAACCAAAAACCACAACACAACCAATGACCATTCCTTAAATCCTTTGAATAGTAATGTATTTATAATAGTATGTAATGTATTTATAATAGTATATAATTTAAAAAAAACAAGAGATACGTTGAAGATTTCCCACAACATTTATATATGCTTATACAGTATGAAATAAATACAAAGTATTCAGTATTTAGACATTAGATTTTCAGTATTTAGACATTAGATTTCTATTGTCAAAATAAAATTTAACAATATTAACTATGTATATACAATGGTATCGAGCTAAAAACACTTTGTAATAAAACATCATTAGATAATTATACTAATTAATCAATCACTTTAGCGTCGTCAAGCATAAATAAATATTAAACAATCATATGAAAGTCAGCCACAAAATCCATCAAACTCCTCTGTCCAGGAGATTTGAATGAATGATAATAATTAAAATAGTATTTCGCTATAATCATTATAAGCTGGATATTAAAACGTCATTAAAATACGTGATAAAACCTTAAAAAATATAATTAAAAAACTGGAGAGAGCGGGATGAGGTGAGCCGCGGGGAACAGTAGTCCGTTGCATTATATTTCACTTTCTTAAGTGGAAATTGCATTATGATGTTATGGGAAAATCCCCATCTGAGGTTGCCAGGTTCAATTGTACAGAGGAGGTTTTCTTGACATTGTTAGAAATTATATAATAAAAAACGTGTTTTTGACACCCATGTAAAAATCAGTAATTATCGCATGATCAAGGAATTAGATTTATTTTGAAAAACTAACTAAAGAGCCCATACATGCCAACAGTTTGATAGTGAGGGGAAAATTTGGTTGGTTGGGGGAGGGGATCGGGTAGGGGTATTGTGGTCGAGTGGGGGGCTGTCTCTTATACACATCTAGGGGGTGTAACCCCTCTAGAGGCTTCAGTTTTTTAAGGGTAAATCTCATGATTCTTATGATGTGTATTCCATTAATATAAGTAGGCCTATTGATTTTAACTTGTGTGTTTAATCGAATCACATTATTTGCCTTTTGTAGACTATGTATATATGGACCAATTTCTCATTTTCTGGCCCTTTCAATACAAGATTGATTCAAAATCTGGATTCAATATACATAAAATGCGTTTTCAATAATTACTGGGCCGGTATTTTAGCAACTAAATGTCCAATTATTCAACGTAAGGTCTGGTCCAGCTACGTCACTCTTTATACAAGAATTCTAGGCCTAGTCGTAATTATTAGTGACTTTCATTTAAAAACGATTTCAGAAAGACCATCCCCTCACTAAGAGGCTCTGTCTTCTTGTCTTTCGCACCTTTCACAGAGAGGCGATAATAATATGTCGCTTTTATATAGCTCTTATATGTCGCTCTTATATGTTGATCTTCATGCACAATGCCTCTAAGCGCTTCACATTAACTAGGTCATTCTTTAGAAATGGCGCAAACCAAGTCCCGTGATTTTGGTGAAGCATTGCTAGACGTTCTACGCCGGCCGGCGATGCATACCGTATACCCCAGCTCGCATTGTGGTTCACGCATTGTTTCAGACCTACTTGCAAGAATTCTATGGCATATATTTGATTATGAAAAAGTTGCCACTTTCTTAAAAGTGGCTTCAAAGCTTTGTTTGGGTGGAATTCAATAAAAAAGTAAATGTAAAGTAAATATCATGAAAGTTTCTTTAGACTTTTCGTGTAGATAAGATAAGATCATTTCTAGTCCAATAAAAGAACTGGAAATTTGTTTTCCTCTGGCAATACAAGACACAAGGCAAGATTAAAGTAAAAATACATTTGATAAAAATATTTAAAAGGTAAGGGGGTATATAAAATCGATCAATTAAAAAGATAATAGGCCTAATGATATTGATAAAAAATTGATCAAAAAAATCAGAACTCTTACCGTTTAAAATGATACATAAAAGACGTCGACCTTTAAATATGATACATATAAAAAATCTAAAAATGCATAAAGACTTTAGTACACGAATAGCGTGTTCGTTAAAATGGTGGATAGAGTTTGGAACAAAAGAGTTGCGATATCTAGCATGGCGGGTATTAGGAACACATAACTTGAATCCTGAGCGATCAAATTTAAATAACTCATGCAAAGGATGAGTGCTGCTTTTCATTATCACAGTAGTTTTATGTCTAATAATCTTCATAAATAGATTCAATTGTCGGTAGGTCGGTGCCTATGCTACAGGGAGCAACTATAACGATTCCTTTGAATTTAGTTTTACTGATTTGAGACACATTACCATAAAAACAAACAAGATAGTAGGTTAAAATACTTTGTACAATTGATTGATAAAATAGTTTTAAAATAGTATTGTCAACATGAAATTGTTGAAGTTTCCTAAGGAAGTGCAGTTATTGATAGTAGTACCTAAATATTTATATTATTGTATCTGTTCGACAGCTTCGCCTTAATAGTTAGTGGAGCATGTCCTGGGCCTGACCTAAAGTTAATGACTTACTAATATTTAGTCTCTAGTTATGAGACACCACTGGACAAACCGGTTAACTTCATATATATACCTAGATCGATCATTTCTAAATAGCCAGTTAGGCCTATTACTGTGTCATCGTATAATTACTAATTATATCTGTATCGACCCTTTTAATACATACTGTAGAATGCTTGTATAATATCTATAATTACGTTATGATAATTCAATTTACGCTGTAAGTAAATGTTAATCACTTGTCGGCTAAAATAATAGATGCAGCCTTTTGACCAATCATTATGCATGGCGAGTTAGTATTTCCTGACGTCACTTCCGGCATGATTGATGCATCAGCAACTCTCAATCCATCCACGCCCTTCACTCTGAAGATAATAACAATAAAATTAACATTAGGTGAGGTTCCATAACATTTCAACAAGTATCGTCCATACACAAAGTCATCGTTTTCACGAAGACACAAACTTCACTTTCGAATAGGTGAGGTTCCATAACATTTCAACAAGTATCGTCCATACACAAAGTCATCGTTTTCACGAAGACACAAACTTCACTTTCGAACAAAACAACACTTAAGCCGGTTACTCACTGCGTGCGACGGCAACGCGACGAAAAACGCACGCGAAGACGCAGACCAAACGGATCGTCTTTTTAATGAGGATCGGCCGTTCAGATTGCTACTGACAATTAGCAGACAGCGTTGCGTCACATATGTTTAAATATAAAGCATTAAACAATTCAAATGTTCAAATAATCTTTTCTAAACTTTAATTAACTTGTTAATTAGCGTGAAAAGTGTGTGTGTGTTTGTGAAAACGATAGAAATTGACTCTTCATGAAACCGAAAAGCTCATTTCACGCGCTCCGTTGTCAAACACAATCTATATTTTTAGAAAAGATTTTAGCATATGTTTTACTACTGTGGTCAATGGCGATTATGCCTACAAACTAGTCTTGCTTAAATCATTTAAAAAAAAATTAGTAATTGCACACTTGCAGACACGTTCCAAGGTATACTGCAAGTAGGGTACCGCTATCCCTAGGAAAGTTAGGGAATCTAACATTTACGTCTAGCTTTACCTAGCCTATCACAACGTTTGCAACGCGTCTTCTGATAGCCCACTGAAAGTTTGTGCCTGTTCGTGAAAACGTAAAAACGAAAAATACATTTTCTCGGTGTGTACGCTATGGCTAATTAAAGACCCATTCCCGGAAAAATTTCACTAAAAACTGACTTTTTTTTTAATAGAAAATATGTATTTGCATTACTCCAATTATTATAAATCATGGAAAAATATTGGCATGAATTTTAGTTTTACGCAAAAGAATTAAAAAAAAAAGAGAAATACAGACTATTTCTCATAAAATATTACCATTTTCTCGACGAATTCATCGTTACTAGGCAAATTCAGAGGTTGTAGATCGCATCCACTGGAATACTTTCGCTTTTATGTATACTTTTTACAGTCAATAAAGCGCGCCCTCTCTAATGAGATTAGTTTTTGTACTTCGCATCTCGCACAATGCGGTCGTTCGGTTGCGATTTTTTTTCCGTACGAAACATTTACATGAAACTCCACTCGGGCCGTCTCGACTGAATCGACCCGAAAATCTCATATTGCAGAATTCAGGTCAAAAGGTCATCAACAACTTCTGAAATTCAGGGTTGCCATTTGGCCTTTTTGACGGCCAAATTTCTCAAATCTGGCCGTATACAAATTTGCCTGGCCGTAGCATTTGAAAAGTCACGGCCAAACTATATTTGGCCGAATTTGGCCGAATTTTTGAAAAGTTTACATTTTTTTTTTCAATATAGGCCTAATATAACGTAGACTTGTTTTGGATATTTTGTTTTTGTTAGCTTAAATTCTATATTTGATTCTTATCTTGTACCTTTGTTTGTACTTGCACTAAACACTTAATCCATGTTCCCAGATTCAGCCGATTTGACGTAAGAGAGTTTATTTAAAAGATAACAATTATATTTAATAATTTAAATTGTTCGGATGAAATATATTGTTTATGAAGTTTATCCTCGTTTAAGCTCTATGAAAGACAGTTCATTGCAAGTTTGTACCATATATTGTGTGTCTTTGTATATGCTCCATCTTACTAGTTAGAGGTTCTATCTCTTTTGAATTTCTTTGAATAGGCCTATAAATTAAATACTGTACTTTAATTAATTTATTATTGCCCAATTGAATTGTATAGCCCTCCATGGGTTCTGCAGTGTTCTTTATGTAGAGCGCCATATATATATGCTCGATGTGATCATTCGGGTCCGATGACACCTCCAATTTCAAGCAAGTTTTGCAGAGACTTCTTCAAAGTTACTCTGGAGTTAGGTTGCATATGAGAATGAAGAAGATAATTCTGATAGCAACATTGATTTATTGCTTTAAGTACTGCGACAATAACATTCAGAGGCGAATTTAGATGTTTAGATAAAAAGTATTTATTAAAGATAGGTTTGTTTTAACGCCAGTTTGTGTTACCTAACTATGTAACTTAATTCATTCTAATTAATTGCCAATAACAGGCCCTAAAAATTGTTGCTATAGATCGACTACAATGTACATTAATACTTAATACAATGTACATTAATACTTAAATCATCAAATTTAGATGAATCTTAATATTGTTATTTTAAATAGCAGAGGTGGAGTTAAGGGAGAGGGGTGGTAAACAAAATTGATCGCCCAAACGCATCAGGTTATTTTCGGGCGTCTAGAAAAGACAAATTTCCTTTAAGATGGTGTTATCTCGATCGGACCCACTTTCTCCCTCTCCCCTTTTTTCGGCCCCGTCCCTCCTCCTTTCAGACATCTCTGGATTTGCCCCTGAATTGGCCGGCATGCCAGCAACAAAGGAACATAGGCTATTTATTTTTAACATTGTTCTGTGTATATCATTTGAATTTCTTCAATTTCAAAATAACACTTTTTTACTCGTGCAGCTCAATCAAATATTATGTCATTTTAAACGACCCATTAGTATTAGCATGGTAACATCAATGCATTTTTAAAATCAGACAGCGACGTTATATCAGAAGTTGTTTTGTAGACGTTTATCTTTCGCGTTGATGACATTCTGACCTCAGCTGATCTCTGCAATATGAGATTTTCGAGTCGGGTCAGTCGAGACGGCCCCGGAGTGGAGTTTCATGTAAATGTTTCGTACGGAAAATCGCAATCGGTCAACTGACTGCGATTTTTTTTCCCGTACGAAACATTTGCATGAAACTTCACTCGGGCCATCTCGGATTGCCT